TTAGTTGTGTTTGGTTTGTTATTTTAGGCTATACTCGATTAAGACCCTGTTTTCTGTCACAATTTATGCTCTATACTTAATAAACGTCAGTTATCTTTTCCTTTTAAAAAATTGTGTCGAGTTTTCACTCTAGGGCTGAGGACTGAAGTGTGTTCTCCTTGTTCTCTTTTACCCTTTAATATTAATTTAATCCATTTTAATTTACTTTTCTTTGTTGCGCCTCCCACAAATCATCTAGACTAGAAAGAAGAACGTAACATATATTACACTGTCATGTCATTCTCTCTCTCTGTTATCTGTTAAGGGGTGCTGTTGAGACTAAATATAATTAAAATATATTCTTCAGCAGCACTAAATGTGGCAGAAAGACAATTTTAACACCACATTTTCTTATAAAAACATACTTGCCTTTTATTCACTATGTAATATTTTCACTATTGTATCAAAGTCATTGAAAATAAAAGACCTAAGGCATGTATTGTACATACAATTGTAAAAGGATTAGTAGCAAACTGTGAGGCACTTGTTCTTGTCAATAATTAAAATGTCTTTGCTCTGTGGTAACCCATATTACTTCCTAATTATTCATAATAGTTCCTTGTTATTGAAATGTATATAAGCACTGGTATTCTGGAATTGTTTTCTGCTCTGAAATGTCTTTCCAATTTATATATAATATACATGTTATATGTACAATAATTACTCCATTAATTGGTAGAAAAAAACAAGATAACTTAATATGAAGTAAATCTCTTTTTTAATACAATTACAGTATAAAATCTAATTATTTTTATTTGGAAACCACTTGATAATATCAACAACTTAACATCATGCTTAATATTTTTCACGGCATAACCGTCCAATGTTTTCACCACTGAAAAACCTCTTATCTATTACAAATATAATTTCTGTTGTAAAAGAATCAGCAAAGGAATACAAATTGTGAGGCACTTGTTGTTCGCAATCATTAAAACATCTTTGTGTGCGATGCCCCACATTACACTAAAGAAGACTTGTGTCTAACCCAATGTGCTGACTTAGTCTTTCTTATATCAAGATTAAATGTCCACTGCAGTGCTTCGTGTGAACGAGAGTTCAGCCATCCTGAACACTATTAACACTATATAGATCATTCCGTCGCTGTGTGGTGATTGGGATCTGCTGACGCATATCAGCCAAATACTGCAGGTCTACAAGCAGAAGAGAAAGAGTATGTTTACATTATGCCCAAATGGCTCTACAGCTCTCAATTTAAACACATGTAAAGCGGTGAAATATACCTATGTCAGCATATACAACGGATTCCTCTGATCCAGCTTTGGCAATTACCTCCCCCCTGCATGGAAAGAGGGCACAGTTATCATAGTAACCTATACAAAAGCATGCATAATTCTATTTTTTCTATTCTATCTACTTGTTTTTCTTTGTGTGTGT